TTATCCTTTTTCTTTCTTTCTTTATGCCCGGCTAGCGATTAGTAGGGCATGGCTAGAAGAAATAGAGACAGTAATAAAGTTATTATTATTATTATTATTATTATTATTATTATTATTATAATGCTTGTTTAGCAAATAATTATATCATACATGGAAAGCTATAAAGACATGAACCTACCTTCCCATGCCTTCTCATGTTTATCTTTCAATTCTTTTTCTTCAGCTTCTGCTGTTTCCTTGGCAACTAAATACACAACACACAACTTCCTTACATGTGATGTTCATTATTATCAATATCCTTTATATCTACCTCTACATATGAACAACAAGTGCATGTGGAAGTTGCAACCGCGATGTACATGTATGATGATGAATCAATTCTGTCACCACTGGTTTCAAATAATTGATGAATTAGAAGTGTACTCCAGAACAGCACTTGTCCTTCATGAGCATGCAGTGTGTTATAACATGGTGGATCAGAAGAATTTACTGAATAACTAGAGACTTTGGTGGATGATAAAGCTCCAACATTCAAGTACCTTTCAATTCCTCCAATGCTTTTGTTTTTTCATCAAGCTGCACTCTAAGTTCCTCCACTTTTTGCTAAAACATAGAAATTTTCACACACCCACGATTAGTAAAAAACTCAAGTTGACCACTTATGATACAATATTCTTTCCATACACTGCCATACTGTAAACTACAGTAGTTCTTCATCATTGCAAAGGCAAAAATTATCCTTACTCAATAACATGTTGTACATATTGTTAAGCTTTTGATTGAATTTGGCAGTGTGCAACATGCATTACTTTTTTTTAAATTTCTTATACCTTTCTCTCTGCTTTCTTCTGCTTTCCCTCCTCAATGTGTTCTTGTTTCTTAGCTAGACCCTGTGCATGACCACATACAAAAACAATTTCATAAGAACAGTCTACATGTTTTTACATGCAATAAACTAGCTATCATGGTCAGTTTAGAGAGATAATGACAGACTGAAGTGAGATAACTAGTTTTATTATATAGTTAGGATAGTATGTGCTCATTGATTGGTCAAAAAACTATCCTTTATTAGTGAACGGAGCATAGTGCTGATGCCATCTGCACGCACAAACTGCTGCTAGATCCTATAACCACCTTTCTTTTTGCGTAAATAAATTTAATACTGAAATAAAATTAGTAACTATATAATAAAATGCAAAAAACAGCTTTTTCACCTGTTTAGCAAACTGAATTTCTTGCTTTCTTTTTTCATAATCTTCTTTGTACAGTTCTCTAGAAAAAGAAATAGAAGTATGTACAATTAACTATGAGATAGATTTACTACTCTGCTAAGTCAAAATCTGTTTTTAGGTGTTGGAATGAGAATGGTAATGAAAGAAAGAATGAATGAATGAATGAAGGAAGGAAGGAAGAAAGGAAGGAAGGAAGGAAGGAAGGAAGGAAGGAAGGAAGGGAAATGAAGCAAACAATAGTACTTACTTGCAATTATTAGRACAATTATTTAAACCAGCATATTCATCGCTACCATCACAGCAATCTGAAAAAGATGGGTGTTAAGAAATCCCTAATGCCTAACAGCATTTCTATAACCACACACACAAMAAGCATTCTGTCTTCTTGATGCTGAACCAATTTTCCAGGCATTAAGCGTTTKCAATTTGTATGTGATAAGTGTGATGTCTGAACCAATTGGATGCTACAGAAAATTAAATTTGACTTAGTTATTAGCATGAAACRATCAAAGATCAATGCAATGTATGAATGATGAAGGCTCAATAACACAGCTGACATTACCAAGCATGTAAGTATGTAGTGTAGACACTCACCACATATACCATCATTTATTCTTGACGAAGGAATATTTCTGGGTCTAAAGCCAGCATTTGTACAATGGAAAAATCCATTGGGACATGCTGCTGTACCTGTAAAATGACATCAAAATGAACTACAATTTGTATATATGGACTGTATATGGATTTCAAGTGTGGATGCATGAGTTTAGTGCTCTGTAATGCATCTCTCCTTCCCTCTMTAGTCATGGGTCTTATCGTGACCCACTACAGTATGCGAGATGTATTGTGTACATAGTGTACATACTATTCTAGAACCACAGAAACCCTCAGGGGGGCCAGAATTTGGGTAGGGGTGTTCCACTGGGATTCTGAAAGGGGTACCTTGYTTAAGATTAAAAAACTCAAATTTGTGGACCCTGTTTATGACAAGATATAATTTATGGYACTGAGTTCCTGTTTCAATTATCATGTCAGCTCGCGTATCGTTTTTTTATGACCATAATGACCAGTTTCGGTCAATAYGAAAGTAGAAACCCTGAATATGACAGGAAACTCAGGAAGAACTTGGAACTTGAGTGAAATTGCATACCCTGTTTATGATAAGAAGCTCGAAAAACCATACCCTGCTCAGCGGATCATCCCTATATAGTCCATATATGGGTGTACCCCCCCCCACCCCAGTCAGAAACCACACTATACTGTACAGTGTAGTTGTTGATCTAGTTCTTACCTGGTTCATCAGAGCCATCGTTACAGTCACAAAAATCATCATTTACACTAGCAAAAGGAATAGTTAATGAACCATCTAAACAAGTAAAGTCTTTAGAACTATCATATAATGGAAGCTCTGAAACAACAACAAACAATATCCTTTTATCAGTCCATAAATGAAAATATTTAAAGCCTTAAGGTATCTGTCTAATTACAAGCATGAGAGAAAAACGGCATGTAAAATGTTGGGTGTATGTCTCTAAGGGAACATGAATATAAAAAAATAACTATAGGACAGTACTCTGCATTTTTATATAGACCCCTTGCAGCTTAATTATTCACAATCTGCTTATAACGCGCCGTCTTTTACCACTGTGGTGTTTTTTCTTTTTTCTTTTCTTTTCGGTACTAAACCCTTGAAGCTATAAAGAAACACTTAGAACCTTGTATTATTGGTTTGTTTTGAGTTTATCCTAACTTAATATAAGCTTGAAGTCTGCGGATACAATTAATATTGTTCTGGGTATTGTTTAGCTTTTTCATCTTTGATGTACGCTTGTACCACAAATACAGTAAAATAATCTCCATGATACATAAAGATTGCAAATCTGAGTTTACGTCAAAGAAACTTTCAAGAACAGAGAAACTTTCAAAGTAATGATAAAATTATAGGAAACACAATGATTTGTTTTGTATAATTTAAATTTAGTGACTCGCAGTGACAGATCAAAAGAGGTTGCCAATAAACGCATTTGGAAACTCAAATTTCTATCATAAAAACACATATGAATATTACAGAAAAAGCTTAGCATGTCGCTATTACTTACTGGTTAAAGCTACTCCTCGTACCGTTAGGCTAGAGGTGGTTTTAAAGAAGAAAAAAGGAAGAAAGAATAGAAAAAATGAAAATTCCTTAGAGACCGCCATGTTRGACGCCATGTTGGATACACGTGTCGGTGCCGCGCGCGCCCTGGTCGGGAACACAGCCTCGATACCATATATACTCGGGTTACATCGATACATCTTCGTTGCAATCGATACATTGTCGTATTTTAGTGTCTTTATTATTTAGTTTTTTTCTATATAAATTATTTTTTTAAAAGAAATATTATTATAAATTATAATTTTATAGGATTTAAAGGATAAAAATTTTCTAACACTAGATAGTAAAAGAACTTTTGGACGTATTTTTTAATTWAAAAAATATTACCTTTCCATTAGATTGTCACTTTTTATTTCGATGTGGAAATGAATTCATAGTTTTTTTGAAGATTCTAAATTTTATAGAAATATTGAGGTTAAATYATTGCAAAATATTTGGAGACTGGAACTAGTTAATTAAAATTGGCGCCAAAATACCGCTGTCCATAGAAACGACGGGCGCGGTGGTCGGAGTTAACCTAAAATCAGGAAATTCAAGGAAAATAATAGCAGACAAGCGGTTTCTGTTCTAGAATCTTGTGATCTGAGCCTACTTTGGAGGGAATACTCTTCGTCAAATTAGTTTCTTTATGAATTCACCAAAGTCCTAACACTAGATGGAGGTCTATGGAGGTGTTGGATAACGAGGAATTGTTAAACAAAAGGTGGATATCCAAAGAAAAGTTCTCTTCTTGTGCTACTGTAATGTGAGACTTYGACGTTTTCCGCTAATTTTACTTTGCTTAGCATCTTGATATTCAGTCATTTTTGATCATTTTGTCTAGCTTATTCCCTTAATGAGAGATCCGTTGAAGATTTTAGTTCGAAGGAAGGGCCTAAGTTAACTTAGATTTAAATMTATTTCGGCCATACTTTGCATTTACTCGTTCTACATTCGTCTTTGTGGCCTTATTAGGGGAGACTTTATCTTTGCACTAATAACAAAAGTATTTATTTTCCTAAACAAGAATTATAAATTTGAATGTTTTCTTTGGTGAATAAGTGTTATCGAGAGAGAATTTGCATTATCCAAGTTTATTATCACACCTGGAATTGYGTTTTATTCCAAGTCTTGTGTGTCTTTTCCAAGAATCTGACGTCACATGTAGGCTATGTGCTTTAATCAGTTTATATTTTGTTTTATTTTGTTTTGTTTTTAGCAATAGATGCTGCTGTATTGGTGGTCGTTTTACCAGCTTGTTTATTACCAGCTGCTGCTAACACACACAAATTAGTGCGAAAGCGCTAGAACGACTAGACACTTAAATAAAAGTGATTGATTTATTATTATTTATTTATTTATTATGTTCATATTTTGCAGAAATGCGAAAAAACATTTTGAAATATGTTTAAATCTATTAGATAAAGATGAATTATTAGAAGCTATTACGGCAATTGAAAAGGTATATTGATCAGTAAAAACTATATGGGTGGTTACGGTTTCATGCACCCAGTAGTTAGCTATATCCAAGTTGCAATATATGTAAGGTTAAGACAATAATTATCAACAATGTGTTAAATCTACATAACCTCCAATAATGGGGAGTTTGAAAAATGGAACAGACAGAGCAGGGAGGGGGACTGGACAGAGGTACTTCAAAGAAGAGGAATTATATATCGGTACCAGACATACATGTACCAAGTCTCAAAATTTTGTTCCCTCCAGCTGATACTGTTTCTTTCTTTATTTTTCAGGCTATTAATCTTCAGGCTATTAATCTTCAGCCAAGAAATAAACTTTTTATCGAATTTTCTGAATACTTGAAGGAGCTTCTATTATCAAGTATGGAAGATTCTTGTGAAAGTCCTAAAATGAGGCCATCTTCAATTAAACAAGAATCTTGTCATCCTTTGAAGGAAAATTACATTCGTTCCCCAAGAATTTCAAGTGATAAAAAGTGTTCAAGATGTTCATCTAGTTGCAAGGAGAAACACAATATATCTAGTTCTGAGACAGAAAATCCAGAACAATTTGAATCTCTTTTCAATGATATTGACAAAGAAGAAGAGTTGCAGAATGGCAACAGTGACTGTGAAAAACCACATTGGTTTCCTAATCCTGCAAAGTATAATGTGGAAGGATTTAATATTGATGCTAGGTTTCTTGAAGAAGTGTGTAAGCAAAGAGAAAATGCAGATGGTTGGGATACTTACATGAAACTTCTAAGTGATGTAAGCCAAGATGATGAGAATACTAGTGATGGAAGTGACGATAATGATGATGTTAATGTCCAGAACATTGGAAGCATTAATGAATGCTCTGCTGATGACACCCATCATTCATGTGAAACCATTTCTTCATCAAAAACCTGTGAAATAGATGAAGAAAAGAAGTCAAGAATTGAACCTAATTCCTCTTGTAAGGAGAATAGTAAAACAACGAAAAGTTCTGAAAATTTTTCTTCACATTCGAAGAGCAGAAAGGAAGCTTCAGAAAATGATGATAAAGAAAGGTTATATTTCATGAATGGAAAAGGATTATATGGAATTCCTCCTTCTGCTGCAGCTGATACCATGAGTGACGAGCCAACGAAGAGCAAACCAACCAGCAGCAAACCAAAGATGGACCCTTCAGAAAATGACTTTTATAAAAATCTAAGATTTTACTTTAATGTTTATGACTCCAAGTCTGAGTTTATGAATAGAAATAAGGAAGCTGCTTCGAAAGAAACAAGCTCAACAAAGCAACACTTCACTTCTGATGCAAGTGAAAAACCATCGTCTGCCAAAGATGAAGAGGATAAGTTTCCTTCAAAGAAGATTCCATCATCTGAATCAGACAGGAGTACACCTCTGATGACTGAAGAGARGCACGATACAGGAAGCAGCAACACTCACAAGTCAAAAACGATGTTTGATCAACACCAAGAGAAAGTTACTGAAAAGGCTGAAATACCTAAAAGGGGAAATTCCTCTGATACTAGGAAAGGCAAGAAAGGAAACAAGAATAGCRTTGCATCGGAAGTTAACAGCAGTGGCCGACAGACAACCACTAGAACAAAGCTCAGTAAGAAACAAAAACACAATGTTTCTGAAAAAAACAAAGAAAACAAGCAAACTGCTGGAAATGAGAAAACAACCAGAATGACGAAAGAAGAAAAGGTTAAAAAGAAGATACCCAACCACAGTGAGACTAGTGAAGTAAAGGAATGGAATGGGCTGCAGACAGGTAAAGTATTTTGGAGTCATGAAAACATGTACCTTTAAATTGAAAAAGTGTGCGGAAGAACTTCAGTAGCACTAATTACACTATAAACAACTGCTAGTAAGTCACAGGTCATGATGACAGGCCAAATTAGTTTTAGCTTGGTCATACCTCGTTTCTGGTTTAACATTACTTGTCAAAATGACCGGCAAGGAAAAAACTTGACCGGACAAGTTCCAATTCTGGACGGACATTGTCCTTGGTGTGGCTGTTATTTTAAACCCTGTCCAAACAGCATGAAATGTAAGAAAACTATACCATGTTACAAGCTTTATTCATGTATGCCTTGAATGATTGTTGTTTTGTTTCTTCACAGGTAAAAAGTGTTGTGTTGCTCTCCTGTGGATGGTTTACTATGCTGTCATAATCCTATTGATTGCACTGTTATTTGCCCTCAAGTGGTGAGTTTTGATTATTTATGCTTTTAAAAGAAATGGTCACTCATCTTGACATGCAGCGCATCACTAATCTAATTACTTACTATGTGTTCTCTGATTGGTTAAAAACTGTGCTCTCTCAGAGAACAGAACCCTGTGCTGATTTACAGATTTTATTCATTTCATACTATTTAAGCTTAAGCAAGTTTAATGTTAAAGATTTTTCTCACATTGTTATTCTTGTTTTTCCTATCAGCTTGTTCTCCATCATCAAGTTTCTCATGGAAATAATAATGTCTTGGAGAATCTCCATTATAGTGCTGAACAAGTTATCTCTCCTGAAAGGAAAGTTGTTTGCAATGTTCATAGTCTTGCTAGTGTGGTTTATTGGGTCATACTATTCATGTAAAGCAAGGTGCATCAGATGGTACTATGGAATAAGGACTTTGGGTGTGAAAAGATTCTTTTTTGGTTCTGGAAGACCTGCACAAACGTACAATCTACCAAATTCAGGTATTCAGATAGGATACTACAGAAGGACAATTCATGGTTGTCCATCTGATTAAYAAACACTAAACCAAAAACTTGCCAATCAAATGTTTATGATATAGAGTTTGCCTTGATTACCATATTAGCATCACTATGAGAAAAAATATGAATATAAGGCCCTGTCCACACATATCYGGAAATTTTTGTATCCATATCCGGAAATTTTTGAAAACGGACACGTGTGGACAGTTGTATCCACAAATTTTCGAATACGATGACGTAAACAYGATTTTCCGCATGCTCAATGAGAAAAACTATCCGWCAAAGGGACTAGGCACTAGCGTGCATCAGGGCAGATCATGAAACTTTTGGCTACATGTAGACTTTGAAAACGATTTGAAAACGATTCGAATACGCTGCGTGTGGACGCAACCATTTTTGTATCAGAAAAAAAAAATTTGCGGATACAAAAATATCCGGATACGTGTGGACGGGRCCTMAGAAACATTAATGTAAATCAAATAGGTCTTGGTACTAGGTACCGCACTGTAGTTCTATAGAGATAATTTTATYGAATACATTTTTTTTTAACATACAGTAGTAATAACAATGTTCTCTATAAAATAAATAGACATTAAATTATTATGATGTCCCCAAGAATGGTACATGTATGTGTACATAAGCTTGAACCTCTATATCTGTATGCTACAGTGTGAACATTGATTTGAGATTATATTTTTCTTCATTCAAGGTGAAGATGCCATACAACAGCTGTTACTGAAAAGAAATAGTGATCCATACAGGTACAATATGGAACAGAAAAATAATCTTTCGTAGTTTCTGATGCATTTTCTTACAATTGTTTTGCAATGTTTGCTGTTAAGGATGACGTCAGCAATTGTGAGCTCCATTCACTAAAGAAGTGCATTTCTTTACTAAACCGCACACAATGATACTTTCATATGCATATGCATACTATCTAAGCTGTATTAAATTATATTAAATGTATGGCAAGCAAGATTAAGAGTGTGCTTCTGTTTGTTTAGTATCCTGGGTGTTCCAAATGATGCGAGTAACGATGACATAAGAAAGCAGTATAGGAAACTAGCAGTTTTTGTGCACCCAGACAAGGTACATATTGTCATCTAAAACAACAACCTGACCATGTACTACTGTAGCTGTAGACTACACTAATAGCAATGTTTATACTTGTGTTTTAAACAGAATTCACATCTCCATGCTCCAGACGCCTTTCGTGTTTTAAGTGGTGCTTATGATATCATTGGTGACCCGGTAGGTTTTAATATATATTAGGATATCGTAATGTAGTACAGCTACCATATAAATGTTTCAAGCTTTTTTACTAGCCGAAAGGGGAGGTAGAGGGGGGGATTGAGGAGAAAATAGCTTACAGTAAAAGCCATCTTGTTGAGAATTGATGCTGTTAAAGAAAATATAATACTTAARGGAGTGATATATGAAAAGCAATAAATTTGTTTTGCACAGAAAACTAAACTTTTTCTCTCTACAGGAAAAGCGTCTTGAATTTGACAGAGAGGTTGCAAGAAGAGAAGCTTTCCAGGGTTCCAGAGTATGTACCTAGCTAGTTGATGCTAGTTTTGGGAAAGCACATTGGGTGTGCACTGTTAACCAACACATTGCCTTTTAMTAGTGTGATGTATTCGAGTATAAAAGTGGACTTTATTACTGAGAAAATAACCAAAACTACACCCTCAAAGTTCGGCCTGAAATACCACAAGGCAGTGTGTAGTACGCAAGGGATTATGGGGTGGGCAACACAGGAAACTCATAACTACATAACAACTAGWGTATGCTGCATCCTCAGACCTGCTATTATGCCTCAAAAGTTACTCTATTGGTACTTTGGTTTTCCTCTTTCTTCAATGATTAATTTTGAAATTCCAATTCAAATATTTGGTACCTTGTCAATTGTGTCATAATTTACAGTGTGATAATTGATTTATTTAGAATCAATTAAGCAGATATTCTTACATTTTTCTATTTATTAGAGCCATAATCCTCCAAGAGATTTTTCAGATCCAAGAGAAGTTTTTGCTGAATTCATAAGACAGATGGAAGAAGTTAGTACACATTTTCTCAATGAATGATTAYGATGCCATTTCACTATAGGATTAGCATGGCTCTCCCATATTGGCCTCGCCTAGAAAGAGCTTATTGGGCRATAAACAAGAATTATTGGATGACTGTACATCAATTACACCTTGAGTCAGTTACAGTCTGTARTATTGTAGATTTGTAAAATGTTTTCAATAAACTTTTCAATTGTTAACTTGTTTTAGATACGAGAAAGCCTGTCATGTGATGTATGTAAAGATAGACATCGTAGAATACYGACAGATAGAGATGTCATTTATGCCCGACGCTGTTACCATTGCAACAGGATGCACCCARCAAAAGAGGTCTGTAATTAAATCTATTCTAGTTAACTGTACTAATAGTAAATGGCTCTTGATTTATGAGGYGTATACTAGATATCCAGTGGCTAACAACAGGGACTGTAGCAAATAGGGGGACATGCTCGCTTGTTTTTTTATATTCAATCAGCACCAACATTGTCACATTGTAATGCAAAACAGTCACGCAATGCAAAATGACATTATGTTACATATTCACCCTTCCTCCCTCTCCTCCCCCTAGATATCCAGGCCTTGCTATGGCCCTGAACAAAGCTGTTACATCAATCCATGTTCCATATGTGTGCTGACATTTTGCAGAGGGAAGAAAAATTCAAAACCCAGACAAAAAACCTTGAGAATTCAAATCACATTAAGCCTGGCCATGGTGACATCAACTTGATATACTTTAAACCCTCGTATATATATATATATATATGATAAGATAATTATTGTATATAAATATGTATATATATGATAATTATTCCTCCTTTAACAGGGCGATTTCTGGAAAGAATCCACTTATTTAGGGTTTGGAAGATCCAAATTTTACGCTTGTATGGAAGGAAGAATCTATGATATTACTGAATGGGGCCACTGTCAGGTTAGTCTGTCATCTTGGAAACTGGTCATGAAGTGTGCATGGGAAATCTGGGACAAAAAAACTGATAAGTAATTAGTGGGATAGAAGGGGAAGTATGTGACATTTTARAATGACGATATATAGAAGGCAGAGTGGGTAGTTTATTATAAGATGAAAAAGGCACGGTAGATATATAATAAATGTTGATAAATATTCTGGTTTGTCACAGGAACGGAATGGCTTTTCTCTTCCTCCTRATACACACAAAGTCTTGGGTAGGATCAGCACAAGATCCAGGCATCATACCCCTCCTACATCCAGGTAATTCTTAACRTAAAATAACTACAAAATAATGATTRATAACTACAACAGAAAGAATTCCTTGATTCACCAACACCTTTTTTTCTGGTCTTGAAAGATTTGAGGAGGAGTTTTGGCGTGACTTATTTGGACAACCTGATCGATACGATGGAAACCATGGCAACCATGGCAACCATGGCAACCATGGCAATAAGGGAAACAGACAGCAGCGCCAGCGAAGAAAAAAGAGGAGATAAGCATTCAGCGGTAATTCTCAACGTGCCAGGCTCGAGATATAGACAGTAGTTGGTTGGTAAACATAGATTCATTCAACTTAAGGTAGATAAGCCAAAATTATTTTTGATTGAAAGAGTTTTTCACTGATATTACAATCGAAAATAAACTAGCAAAATGCTAAAATTTCATGTGTATTTTTGACTGTTTCCATGGAAACGCAACAAATTATTGAACAGTTCCAGTTAAATAGTGAAGAAAAAAWGTTTTTAAGTGATATTGTAATTATTGTTATATTGCTTCATTTATTAAAGTCGTACAAATTGTTGTTAGTTGCACTGCACTGCACTGCACATAAACTGCACACCAAACCACATTACACTGCACTGCACTATGTCAGCACACCACACCGTACCGCACTACACCACACTACACTACACTACACCACACCACACCACACCACACCACACCACACCACACCACACATCACACACCAAACTACACCACACACTACACCACACCTCACCACATCACACACCAAACTACACCACACCACACCACACTACACTACACTACATACCAATATACTAGTATATATATAACACAATGCATTCTACATCATACTACACTACCCTACACTGCACTGCACTACATTACACTACACTACACTACACTACCCTACATTGCACTACGCTATATTGTGTTCATGTGTTGTGCGCAGGTACTTGATATCATTGAATGGGGTTGACGTGTCGAGTGTTGTGCTGTTAATAGCAGCTGCTTGGCCACCCAAGTCATAACACATTCTCTAATATCCCATTACAATGTATAACATAAATCTACTGATGGGCACGTCGGCAGATCAAAGGTAAAAAAGGTGGTGTACAATTAAAAAGTGCAACACGATCTTTCGATAGATGAACGTGCGGGCTAACCACACGTTGATCAAGCCACGGAATAGACGCTAGACCAACGCATTATCAGCACTGTTAGATTATAATGACTTTTCAATCGCAAAATCAGACAACGAATGGAATCCTTTGCGTTACTACCACAGTGTCACGCAATCTCGACAGTTTTTGCGTCATGTGCGAACATCCTAATCTTGCCTTTACGCAACATACCACATAAGAGTGTTCTGTAAGTTTTATGTCATTCAGAACAGTAGATTCGTTTCTCGTGCCGTCTGAACGGCGCCACGAGCTATTAGGGTAAGCGCCGGTGAATCTAATCGTCCGGTTATCAACATGTCAACGAGATACAAATTGCGTTATGACAGGAATATAGAACTGAATACACTAGTCTGACGTACACTCTGCCTTATGAACACCTGACGAAAAATCCTTACAAATCTTGWACACTTCGCCAAAGATTAACAAGCTTTAGAATTTATCATTTTTATTTCACTGAATGAGGAATTTTTGAGGTTAGTGTCAGGTGGCTGTCTTGTCGAGATTTGCCGTCAAGAACACCACTTCACTGAGAATGAAAAGCAACACTTATGTAGGATTAAAGTCTTGTTAGAACATATAGGTATGCCAAGAACCTGACTAGAAATCAAATATTATTACAGATAACCAGAAAATATCCCAATAATGATTATTCTTTAGGTTTCGTAACCTATCAGTTGACAAACGTTCCCGGCATACACCACATTGCGCAATCAAACGTTCAACAAGTACAAGGGGTTATTTAAAAGGTTGAGAGCAAAGACCATCGATATTTTTTTAAATTTTCCTTTGATATTTCCATTGTTTTGAAGGGTGTTCAGAGTTGGTGCTGCTGAAGTAGCGTAGATAGCGCGCCGTGTGTTTGGTCAGTCATTTTGTCTTTTCGCATTCTTGTTGCGTGATGTTCTGATGTCGGATAAGACTCATCTTTTCGTTCAAGATGCTTCCACAATCGATTGATAGGTTTATCAGCTCGATAGAATGAGATTTTTTGATTTACTGACTAGAACAGCAGTGGAAAGGTTTCCTGCGTAGCAATGAAAGGGTTTCTGATGTATCACGTGATGGGTGGAGGGAAAAGAAGAAAAACTTTAGAACCTGAAAAGGGAAAAGAACGACAAAATTTTCAACAAAAGTTGTCATTGTCGATGATGGTGCGTAATTCGCGGGGCGGCCGGTGACCATTGGACTGGACGTTCATCATATCAATGAAATCCCCATCACAATAATTATTCTACTTCAAAAAAAACGCGATGTTCTTCCTTCATTACCCTGATTAGCTGAGCAGAACACAAAGTAGCCCAGGGTTATAGATTATCTAGAAGTAGTGAGCTCATACATAAATCACTGTTTGATCGTGTCTACATGCTATTACTAGTTCACCGGTGGTCTAATCGGCTCGCTGGTCATAAAAACTAAAAACCAGAATGGACTTATTGAATCACAACTGACTGATGTACAGAACCGCGAGCCGACGGTTATAGTCTAGTAGGTCAGAAAGGAGTATTCACTCTTCTCATGGAAACCAAACTGGGAATGGAAAAAGAATTTAAAAGAAATAGAAAAAGAAAAGAAAATATCAAAAATCAATGGTTTGAAACTTTGTTTCCACAAAAGCACATATCAGTTCTGACTATGATGTAATGCTGAATCGCAGCTCGCTATGAATGGACGGCCGAGAGTGAGAATATACTGAGAGGCTATTTAAAGACTCCTCCTAGTTCATACACACCAACTGGATCCGCGCCGGATTCCCCAAGCAAAGGAAAAACTAGAAGTAGTTAATACTGATGATCATCGCAGCTGGTGGCTATTAGTTGTAGCTGGTAAACCACAAGGGATAGAGGGCGCGCGCCGACTACTACGTCCGATCCAAGTTTTAGTGAAGAGATTAGAAGATTGATCTGATTGATGAATGTCACAATAAACCATCTGATAAGTTGCAATACCACTTCACTTCCAATGGACAGAATTAGAACACAGACAGCAAAGACCTCCCGAGACGGTCTTACCTTCTATTAATACATTATTTCTAATTACATATTAAACACTAATTCAGGAACAAAAGGTTGCAGAGTATTTTAAATAAAGATGACAGAAGAGATATAAGAACAAATGCTCACATATTTCAGATTCCTACACGCTAATGAAAACATGCTAGGCCAGATGCTGGTTGACTGGTAGCCTAGCCGATTGGAGTGCCATCGAGAGTTAGAAGATTTTATGCTATTTTAAGCTTTAGATATGTTTTAATAGGAACGAACAAAAGCTATGGTAAATATCATGAGCTGGAAACGATCCATACGAGGTTGGAGGTCCAGCTAGCCAATCAGATACCGGCAGTTGCCACAGGGTTCCCAAGTGAGCAGAGCTTAGCTTTAACGTTAACATAATAATAGATGATGATAAATGAAAGCAATGCAATGCGTTTTATTCCAATTGAAACCATTCCTCCCTCTACTGAGGGGGGAGGGGTGTGTAGTATGCATATCATCAATCAAGATGCAATCCAAGTGATGAAAACACAAAGCAATTAGATGATAATTCAAGTGTATTTTACGAGGCAGTCGTTGTTTCTATCCATATATAGAAAATATATTGCATATGGCGCGGAGGAAGACCTATCGTACCACAACCCTCTAATGCGTTTGTAAAGCTCTGTTATTGGTTGGTGCATGCTCGAATACCTGTATTTTGGTTGGTCAGGGTGGTAACCATTTGATAGTCATGCTAGACGTGTTGCGTGTGCTCGGTCTGTAAGGCCCCGAGGCTTGTCTCGCTTTTCTTCATAGGTTTTGTAAGTCGATTTCTCTGTTCATTTTAGAGAATGAATTAGTCGTTGTGTGACCAGTACCGCATGCGCGCGCATTCTCAAAATACTAATCATAATTTGTTATAATAGGTTAAACAGGTTATGGCTAATGATCTTACCTATGTTTCTTTGATAAGAATCGAACATCATAACCATGCCTACCTACCTACCTTTCTAGTTTAACTGCGCATGGGTGATTGGAGTGGTCTTTTTATAAGAATGACATCCCACATGGTTAAGTTACGTCTGCTACCAATTTTTTTCCAATGTTTATATAATATTTCACCTGAAGACAAAACTGTGCAAAACTTGGGTCAGTTTTATTAGGTAGGTGGTGATATTAACCCGGGGTGGGTACTCCCCTATATTTGCTATACGGGTATGTGCCGCCCTATAGGGTATGGTTTTTCGGCTTTTGTGTCTGGGGTAGGGTATCATTTTTTGACATTTTGCCTGGGATAGGGTATCATTTTAGTCTAAGATAGGGTTAGCGTTTTGGTCGTTTTTGTCTGGCGAATAGGCCACGCTTTCTGCCGACACCAAAACAATAAAAATCTTACTAAATATTGACATTGCAATCGATTGTAAAACCGTATTTTCCGTCTTTTAGTCTGGGATAGGGTGTATAATTCTTAGTTTTAGTCCTGGCGGCACACCCCTACCCAAGTTGGGGGGGGGGGGCCCCCCCCCCCCCCCCCCCGGGGATATCAATCAGTACCAAGTGATTTCCAACTTGCCGGGCACCATCTTGGATTCCAGAAGCGTGCACAGCGTTATGGGTATTCATCGGGTGACTTGAATACCTGATATAGGTTACTACCAGGTATGGTAAACAGGAGATGTACACAGTATATCATCAGGTCAAGTAGAAACGCTTCTGATTGCTTATCGGATCATTCCAATGAATCCACCAACATCCCAGCAAGTTTATATTTCAAACATTCAAAGACGTAACAAAATACTTTGGATGAAAAGAGCCAAATACCTGTGCATCGCTACGATCATCTATATTTAATCACTCAATTTGTCAAATTTGACATGGTTCGTCTATTCTTTCATCACTTCCGTTAGCCACCGGACTGTTATGATTTATTCTGTAGGCGATGGATTGGTTAATGCCTCTTGGTTGCGTGCCGAGATGTAATGCTCGCTTCTATTATGCACTTCCGGGGGGAGTGTCACCTTTATATAGTTATAATCGTTCGCAATACAACTGGAGAATTCCAATCTAAAAATTATTCGACATTTTTAGAGTCATTTACTAAAGTAACAAGCCAGGAAAAAGTTGAAAATAAGAAGTTTGAAAGATCTGATTTAAACCGTAGTGTGATAATATAGAGCCAGACTACGACTGATGTGAATCATATCTAATTCGATAGCAGGATATCCATGTCGGGATATCTGTAATTAATCATTAAGCTAAATGTGAGTTACT